GCTGTTCAAACAGTCTTACTGCAAGCAGTGCTCACTCCTGAAGATTTGCTTCCTTGTTAGTTTTGTAATGGTCATTCATTTGGGACGTCGCTGTTGCAAGCAGCTAGAGTTTGCTTCCTGCCTTTATCTCTCTAACTGGAGACTTCCCCAGGACCCAGGCACTGGTCTTCTGTCTGAGATCCCTGAGAGAAGAGATCATCCCCTGTGAGGTTTGCAACCACCTCTCTTTCAGGACTGGTGCATCTAGTGTAAATAAACAGCTGATACTAAGAAAATCTCCACATACATTATAAGGGACCCCTATGATTATCTAGTCTGACCTACTACATAACAGGCCATAGGAGGCCATGATTAATTCCCATTGGGACTAGAAAAGATCTTAGAGAAAAAACATCTCATCTTGATTTAAAATTTGCCAGTGATGGAGAATCCATCACAATTCTCGGTCAGCTTTTCCAATGGTTAATTACTCCACTATTAAAAAATTGGGCCTTATTTCCTGTCTGAATTTGTCTAGCTTCAACTTCCAGCCCTTGGCTTGTGTTTGACCTTTGGCTGCTAGATGGAAGAGTCCATTATTAAAGGCTTTTTCCCCCATGTGTAGGTACTTATAGATTGGGATCAAGTCACCTCTTAACCTTCTCTTTCTTCAACTAAACAGAAAGCTCCATGAGTCTCTTGTTATAAGGCATGTTTCCTTTATGATTCCTCTGGCTGATAACTGTGTTAGGGCCCTTCTAAATCAGCTTATCATCCAGAAAAAATCCAGTTCTTTTAATGCTGTCTCTGCTTACTCGGCAGTCTGGTCCTTGTGTTGGGACCTTGCTTTAAGTGACAGCAACCAGGAGATGCTCTGCAGCTGTGTCCCATTGATCTGAGGCTCCTGAAAGCATTGATTGGCTTGCCGGTGAAATTCTCAGGCACTGCTAACCCTGGAGCTTTGCTGTTCATGTGTGCCAGCATCTTAATTAAACCTGGTTCCCACTCCTTTTATATTTAATGGGCTAGTGGGAAGGGTTGGGGGATTGTGGGTGGGTGTAACTAATACAGCAATGCCTACCTGGGTTTGCAGAGGGCCTGACCATTGCTCTAAGAGGGAGGAGCTACTGACTAGGGGATGAAGGTTTTTGTGGTAGAGTTGTGATGGCAGGGGAAATGTTGGGAATTGATCCTGGTTCCATGTACCAGTGGCTGTGATAGGTGCTGGGTCCCTGGGGGGACCCTGAATCAGAGCTGAGAGAACACGTCACAGAATTTGACACACTCCTGTCTCTGGGCAGCTCCTAGCATGGGACAAGGATGGCACCAGCTGGGGTACAGGAACAGTTACCTGGTTACCAGGAAGATGCGGTCTTGATTACTGGGGAGAGGAGAGAATGGTTACCTAGTTACAGAGGGGATGGTTACCTAGTTACAGGAGGCCACTGTTGTAGTTACTGGGGGGTGGGGATGGTTACCTAGATAGCGGGAGGGACACAGTTACCTGGTTACCAGGAGGGTGTCGTGTTGGTCAAAGGGATGCCTGTCCTGCCTGGTTACAGTGTTAGCAGGCAGCCCCCTGTGATGTCAGAGATGATACCCTAAACCTTTCACCAGATACATGGAGGGAATTGCTGGAGCCCCATCCCAGAGGGAACATGGATCCCAAGGAGTGGAGGGGCTCAGTAGTAAGTGTAAGAGGCAGCATTGTCTAGTGAGGAGTCAGGACTCCTAGGTTCTATCTCTGGCTCTGGGCGGGAGCGGCATCTAGTCAAGAGCAGGGCAACATTGTTGGAAATGCTTCTCCCAGTCAGTGTAGAGTGACTGCCCAGCCCCCAAACCTCTTTGCGAACCCTTTTCCTCATGCCCTGGTGTTTGCCTCACCCCCAAGGGGCAGAGTTAATGGCCCCTTCCCTTGGATCTGGGAGTGGTGGGTAGGTGACAGTCCTCAGCACCATGAGAATGGCATTTTTTACCTTGGCAGGATGTATCTAGAGGGGAACAGGGTGGGGCCAGGACCCGGGGGGTGCAGAGGCTAAGGTGGGCAGAGCCAAGACATGAGGGCAGGAAGGAGCAAGGCCTGAACCAATAAGGAGGAGGAGTCATGGCCTGTTCGGGCACCATGTTCCATTTAACTGGGTGGGTGTTGCTCTCCCTAGGCAGGGCACATGTATCAGTTCACTTGCTGTAGCTGCCCTGACTGGGCCTGAGGAAGTTGCCCACCTGGTGACCCTCCCCCACTGCCCTGTCCTGCACCTGTAGGTGCCACAGGGATCCCCAAGGCATCTCCCCTGTGCCCAGTATGGCCCAGTCCCAGCTGGGGGCATCACTAGTCCTGAGTTCTCTGACCTGACACACACACAGGGACCCAGGAGTCCTGATTCCCAGGAGCCATATAGGCAGGGACAAGGAGAGGGGAGTGGGTTCTCTAAACATCATAGTCAGAGCTGGGGATAGAACCCAGGAGTCCTAACTCCTAGCCCCCTGCTCTAACCTGCTGCTCACCCCACACTCCCCTAAGCTCTGGGGACTTTCCAAACCAGTTTAGCAGGTTGTGGAGGAGGCTGAAGGTCAAAGAGAACCTCCCACTCCCCAATCTGGCTGGGACAGTGCCTGCCTGGGGGTTCCCCTCGTGATGAGCCGACTGTCCCTGCTCAGAGTCAGGGTTGCTTATGCCAACCCAGGAGCCCCATACAGGCACAAAGGGCATACCAGGACTCCTGGGTTCTATCTCTAGCTCTGCCACTGACCTTGCACAAGTCCCTTCTCCTTTCTAGAAAAAGAACAGGAGTACTTGTGGCACCTTAGAGACTCCTTTCTGTGCTTTAGTTTCCCCTTCCACCCTTTGTCTATTTAGACTGGAAGCTTTTCAGGGCTGTGTGTCTGTGCAGTGTTCGGCATGATGTGGGGCCCCCATCTGGGTCAGGGTCTATGCAGCAGCACCCAGTGTGATGGCCCCTGGGGGCTGAGTGGGTAGGGTAGGCAGAGTGGGGTGGGGATTTCCGAGCAGTACAGTCAGTCGCTAAGAGTCTGGGAAGGCCCCAGGCAACCTTCCAGTGCCTGGGAAGTCAGGTCACACCTGTGTTTGCAACTAAACCGGACCCAACCCAGCCAGCTGGGTTAGCAGGGGTGGCTGCAACATACACGCACAGCCCTCTGCTATCCCAGCCTGGGCTCCCCTCCAGCACTGCCGGTGGCCCTCAGTCCTGACCCACGGCCCCTGCTACCCCAGCCCTGGCCTCCTCCCCCACTTCCAGCTCTTCCAGCCTCTCAATCCCAACCTGCAGCCACCTAGTGGGCTGGTTGGATCTGCCCTGGGAAATTAATACTAATGACACTTAATGAAGGGCCATTTGTTTGGCCATGTCAGGCAGAGGTGAGTAAATGAGTCCCATGTGACTTGGGGGTGGGAGTGACAGCTGGGTCCTCCTCAGGGGCTCAAAGTGACCTTCAACGACCTTCAGCTCCCAAGGCCAGGAGGAGGCAAGTTCGGCTGGGCAGGTACTAGGAACGCGAACTGTGGTGGGTTAGAGCAGGAGGGCTAGGCGGTCAGGATGTTCCCCAGCTCTGCCTCTGACTTGCTGTGTGACCTTGGGGGCACATCTCTTCCCCTACTCTGTGCCTCAGGTTTCCCCTCTGGCCACTGGGGATCATGCCTTGACCTGACTCCCAGGGAGTGGTCAGGGCTGGTTCCTGAGGATTCAGGAATAAATGTGTGGGCTTTGAGATCATCAGGTGTGTAGGGCAGAGAGAGTCTCCTCAACTCCCAGGATGTGGCCCCCAGCAGGACCCCCCCTCCCTCTAGTACATTCCTTTGAGTGGTTTGGCCTGGGCGTAGAGTCTCCTTAGGGTCACCCCAATCTGGGGAAGTGTGGTTAGACACTGTCCCATTTACTTGCTCCCAGGAGTCTCGCCTCCTGCCCATTAAGTGAGACACACAGCCCCAGTGTGGTCTAAGCTGCCCCTTATTTATTTCCCCCTTTCCTCCTGCTATATGCTATATGCCACCCCATGAACCTACTGCCACCTAAAATCGTCCCCATGATCCTACAGCCCCACACTTACTGCCCACTGAGAGGCTTCAATCTTTTCCACCCACAGCAGGCTGAATTGTCCCCACAGGATTCCCCAGGACCCCCTCCCCCAGCACCAAATTAACAGTCCTTTATTGCTCCCATCAGATCAGTGACCACTCTATGAAACCCCAGATCAGTCGCCTACCCCAATGACCCCCAATAACCCTCCAGACCAATCCCCTGCCCCAATGACTCCCGACCAGCTCCCTACCCCCATGATCCCCCAGACCAGCCCCCTTCCCCAATGACCCTCATGATCCCACAGCCCAGCCCCCAATGATCCCCTAGACCAGTCCCCTACCCTCATTGACCTCCATGATCCCCCAGACTAGCCCACTATCCCCAATTACCCCAATGATCCCTCAGACCAGCCCTTTACTCCCATTGACCCCCATGATCCCCCAGACCAGCCCCCTGCGCCAATGATCCCCCAGACCAGCCCCCAATGACCCCCATGATCCCCCAGACTAGTCCCCCAATGACCCCCATGATCCCCCAGACCAGCCCCCTGCCCCAATAAGCCCCCCCCCTTAATTCCCCGAATGTCCCCAGCAGGTCCGTGCCCCTCTGACTCCTCACAGCCCGGTCCCCAGCCCTCCGGGCGCGGCGCTAGCTCGCGGGGCGCAGCGAGGTTGGAAGTCAAAGGGCGAGCGCGTGCAGCCAGGCCCCGCCCCACTGCTGCATATTCATGAGCGCGGCCCCGCCCCTTCCATTTGTCAGCTGGGAGCCCAGGAGGAAGTGCGCCGCGATGTCCTTTTGTGTCCTACACTCGGAGCGCAGCGCAGCGAGCCGGGCTGAGCCCGCGCCCATGGCCCGGCCGGCCCCCCGCGTCCCGGGCCACTGAGCCCCGCCCGGCCCGGTCACGCCACGCCGGGCCCCAAGGTCAGTGCGGGATCGGGGCAGGGGGGCCCCCACCCGGCCCATGTGACTCCCGCTCCGCAGTGGGGGCTTGGGCGCGCACGGACGGGCGGACACGGAGACAGACGGACGCTGCAGGGACAGACAGTCACGGGGCGGGACTCGAGGGGACACAGTGGGAACAGGCGGGCGGACAGACTTGCAGGGGCACCGGGGACACATGGACAGACTTGGGGACGTGGACGCTCCTGGGACCAGACAGATAGACAGGGGGCTGCCCAGTCGGACACAGACAGACTCCCAGGAGCACACGGACAGACATGGAGCCTGACTGACAGACACGCGCACACATGGCCAGCTGGGACAGGGCTGACCACCCAGGCGCACATGGAGACTCACGGGGTGGATCCCTGGGGAAACACAGACACCTGGACAGACCTGGAGACTTGCAGGGAGGTGAACAGTTGTATCCTGGTGCAAGAGCAGGTGTCTGTGTAAGTGACCATGTGTCAGTCACACAATCTCCTGCCAGGACATGGCATCTCATGCCCCCCTGCTGCCTGGGGCCTGGTGGGCGCCCTGTCCAGCTGGTATGTGTGGAGTAACTGGATGGGGGAGGGGAATGGCAGGTGTCAAACTGCCCCTGCCCCCCAAGCTCAAGGCTCCATGACCAGTCAAGCCAGAATCCTCCAGGGTCAAAGGTCACAGTCCTGAATTGGCCCAAGGCCTGACCCTGAAGGGGGGAGTGTGTGTACAGAAACAACAGGGGTGAGCTAGGCTGGGATTAGAATGGGGAGGCTGGGGAATTCTCCCCCACACCAGAAATCCAGAATCCCCCTCCCCCTCCGCACCTCCAGCACATGATGGGGCCAGGAACCACCCACCCAGATGATGGGTAATGTCATTTACTGGGACTCGCTTCGACTGGGAGCAGAACGCGGTGTCACCCCTCCCATACACACCAGCGTGCCTTCTGGCATACGTTCCTATGGTCCATTGCACCCCCTGAGGGGCGGGGGGAAGAAAGTTTGACCAACTTTTCTATCTCTGTTCTACAGATGGGAGGGAAGTTACTGGGGGAGGGGTATGCATGTGGGGGGGAGGGGATGTAGAGGCAGGGTAAGGATTGGAGTGCAGGGGGAAGGAGGGTGAATGGGTTGGCAGGGTGGGGTGAAATGGGGGTACTTGGTCCCCGTCTTCCCCCCAGTGTCTGTCCCAGATGTCTGGGTCCCAGTCCTCATCCCAGTCCCCAGGGGCTGGGAGTGCCTTAGGGCTCCAGATTAGTCCCAGGTTAGTCCAGGGGGTTGGGCAGGTATGGGGGGGGGGGGAGGGGGGAGGGGGGGGCGTGGATAGTGGGGGGCAGAGCAAGGGTGGAGGTTGGGGGACTGCAGAGGGGGAAGAGTGCAGGAGAGGGAGAAGAGGACAGTCTTCTGTAAGCACAGTGGGGCACGATGGAGGGTCCAGGCCTCATTTCCCCTCCGCCTGCTCTTGCGTAACTCCCCGCCGCGGGACATTAGGAAAGAGACAAGACTGCACAAAGGGGACAAAGGTCGGGGGGGAACATGGGGACAGACAGAGTAATAGACACGGCTGACACTCCTGAAATGCTCTAGGGGACTGGGATGCCATGCATGGACACAGTGGGGAGCACACTGACATGGGGCTAACACACATGGACACAGCCCCTTCCTCCCCCGCCCCAGCTGGACTAAAGGTGGCCTCTAGGATTCATTCCTGGCCCAGTCTATGCCATCCCAGACACCTGGGTTCCATTCCTGATCCCAATTTCTCCCCCTCCTCATGGGCTGGGAGTGCTGCCAAGTTAGTCCCAGTGTGACGGAGGAGGGATGTGGGTGCTGGGCTTGCCTATGTGTGTTTGTGGAGGAGGGTACAGGCCTGCAGGGCTACGACCCCTCCCTGACCCCACTGGCTCCATCGGAAGAGTGCCCTGCCTGGGTCCGTAGGTGGGGAGCACAGACAGTTCAGCCATGCCTCCCGTCCCCCCAATTCCAGCAGATCCCTGCTCCCCAGAGGCCCCCTGCCCAGAAACTCCTCCAGAGCCTGGCGCTGAGTCAAGCAGGGAGGGTGGGAGGTGCCCGGGGGGGTGAGCCCTGGAGAGTGTGTGTGGGGTGTCTGAGCCCTAGTGAGTGGGGGTGGATGTGTTGGGGAGGGGGAGCTGTCTGAGCTGTGGCCTCCAGACTAATCCCTCTGCCATGACCCTTATCTGCCTCCTGCAGCCTGGGTTGACTTGAGCTCTGGGGAGGGGGTTAATTCCTGTACCGGAGCTGGGGGGAGAGCACAGAGCTGAGGCTATTTCCGCTTCTGGATTGTTGGTACCACCTTTTGCCATCCCAGAGACCCCCGCCCTTGCGTGCCCACGCACAGCTTCCCCCAAGCAAACACACACAGCTCCCCGTACCCGCCCCCAGCCTGCGATCAGAGTCTCTCTCTCTGTGACCTTGAGCCTGTCACATGCCCGACCCTGAGATACTGGAGCTGGCACTGGGAGTGGGAGGGAGTGTGCTGAACATCTGGGAAGAGGCCCCTAGGTTTGGGGGGGATCCCGGGCAGGGGTGCCCAGCTCTGAGGGTCACAGCTCTGACATCAGAGCCAGCAGTATGGGACTGAATCTCCCCATGGCAGCTTTCCCAGGGCCCCCAGGGGAGCGACCGGGATGTGGAAAGGGACCTGGGTGCCTGGGATGGCAGTGCAGGGCACTCGACCCTAGGGACCTCCCACAGAGTCCTGGCAGAGTGTAAAAGGGCAGGGATTGGGCAGTCCAGATGGGGGAGAAGTGTCTCACTGCCCCCCTCCCACACCTCCCGTCTCCCACATATATCGCCCCCTGCAGGCCACCCCAGCCATGTCGTCTCGGGATCACCGTGCTGAGTTCTTCATCAAGACGGAGCCGGCCTCCCCGGACAGCCTGGCCCAGCGCAGCCCCAGCGGCTCCTCCGATGCCAGTGGTCCTCCCCATGACCCCGAGCCAGGGGCACTGACCCGCCGGCGCCATGACAACAACCCTGATGAAGTCTTGCCCCGGGGCAAGTATGTGCTGAGCTCCCTGCCCAAGCGCCTGTGCCTGGTGTGCGGGGACGTGGCCTCGGGGTATCACTACGGCGTGGCCTCCTGTGAGGCCTGCAAAGCCTTCTTCAAGCGCACTATACAAGGTAACCCCCTGCATACCCCCAGCCTGGGGGGGCCCTCAATCCTGATCCACAGTCCCTGCTATCCCAACCCCAGGCCCCTCCTCCGCTGATTGCTGCTGCGTGGATGGGTAGTGGCTCCCTGCCCTTCAGTGCACTTGGAATTGGGTCCCGGTTTCCCAAAGGGGGCCAGTCACACACCCCTGCCCCTGTGTCAGCTTTCCAAATGCTGGGGGATTGGCTCAAGGGAGGGTGACAGCTCCAAGGAGAGGGGATGGGGCGGCTGCCCCAGGGCTCCCTGCTCATGGCCAGTTGGTGATTTTCCAGGGGCAGCGGGGGAATTTGATTTCGCTGAAATTGTTTTATTTTTCCCTTGGGAAAATTGAGATGAAATCTCTTGAGTGGAGCCCAATAGACTCCACCGGCCTCAGCTGATGCAGTGCGTCTTGGGAGCTGTAATTCAGATGGCTTGCATTCCCCATTCTCCTGTAGGCTGGGTTTCCCAACAGGACTACATCTCCCATGATGCACTGTAGTCTCCCTTGCTGAGCCTCCCCAGTGCCTGCTAGGAGCTGTAGTGCAGGTGTTTCATGGGGTGGTTCTCCTCCCTGGGCTGGGCTACATTTCACAGGATGCACTGCGGTCTTCCCTCTCCTAGCTGCGTTGTGGGAGATGTAACCCAGGAGCTTGCAGCATTAAGCAGGAGGGTTGCTTCTGCTTTGTGGGTGGGTGTGTGGCCCTGGCCTCCCATTCCCTTGGGACTACATCACCTGTCCCCCCAGTTCCTCCTCCATCCCTCAATGGTTTGGCCCCACCTCACTGCATGCCCCTACTTCCCCAACCCACCACAGGCTCAGCCCCATCTCCTCTCTCCCCCAGAATTTTCCCCACCACCGCTTCAGCTCATCTCCTTCCTCCGTGTTCCCCCACATCTTCGGTCTCAGACCCTGTCTCCCCCTGAACCTGGTCTCAGCCCCGTCTCACCCCGCTCTTCCCCCAGGCAGTATCGAGTACAGCTGCCCGGCCAGTAACGAATGCGAGATCACCAAGCGGCGCCGCAAAGCCTGCCAGGCCTGTCGGTTCACCAAGTGCCTGCGCGTTGGCATGCTCAAGGAAGGTACGGGGGGTGGAGGGACACAGGGTGGGGGCTAGGGGGAGAGCACAGTGGTTGGGGGGGCTGGCAGGGGGAATTGGGAGGGAACTTGGGGAGGGGGAAAGAGCTGGGGGAATTAGAGGGCTGCTGGGGGGGGCAGTGGATGGTGAGCTGGGGGGCAGGTGTGGGAGGTAGGATATGGGAAGGTTAGGTAGCCAGGGTAATGTCAGGGGGAACCATCAGGAGAACCCTGGGGGGAAAACAGCCCCTCAGTTTCCCCCTGCTGTTATGAGAGCAAATTGGTCCCCTTGGGAATAGGGGAATGGGCAGGATGGGTGGGGAAGAGGGAGGGTTTTGGGGGTGCATTCTGACCCCACATCTTCTGCTCTGCCCCCTAGGGGTGCGGCTGGACCGTGTGCGAGGGGGACGCCAGAAATACAAGCGCCGCCCTGAGGTGGATGGGGCCCCATTCCCCAACACATTCGCCACCCCCCAGATTGCCACAGTGACCAGCAAGAAACCAGGTGAGTGGGGTGAGGCTGTGGGTCAGGATTAAGAGGCAGAGTAGGGCGGAGGGGGAAGCCCAAGGCTGAGGTAGCAGGGGGCTATGGGTCAGGATTGTGGGGTACGGGCAGATCTGGGAAGAAGGGAGGATCCCAGGTGTGATAGGGTGTTAGAGGGGGATGGGGTGCTGGGGAATCTCCTTTCACATTGCCCCCTCTCTGCAGCCCCCATTAACCCCATGGTGTCCCACCTGCTGGTGGCGGAGCCTGAGAAGCTGTATGCAATGCCTGACCCAGCACTGCCCGATGGGCCCCTCCGTGCCACCAGCGCCCTGTGTGACCTGGCTGACCGCGAGATCGTCGTCATCATTGGCTGGGCTAAGAACATCCCAGGTAGGGCCCCACCTCCCCTGCAGCATTTTTTATGACCCCCATCTCCCACCCAGCGTGGCCCCCATCCCCATGTGCTGCCCCTCCCCCAGCGCTTCCCTCCTAATCCTGTCTCCTTCACCCCCTGCAGGCTCCTGCAGCCTAGCCCTGCTCCCCTGCCCCCAGGGTTTCCAGCTCCAACCTCCATCTCTGCTTCCTAATCCCTGTTCTCGTCCCAGCCCCCTAACTCCTGTCTTCCCCTTCCCCGCTGCAGGGTTCCCAGCCTGCGCTGCCCCCTAACTCCTGTCTCTCCCCTGCAGGGTTCCCAGCGCTGTCGCTGGCTGATCAGATGAGTGTGCTGCAGAGCGCCTGGCTGGAGGTGCTGGTGCTGGGTGTGGCCTGGCGTTCGCTCCCCTGCGAGGACGAGGTGGTCTTTGCGGAGGACTTTGCGCTGGACGAGGAAGGGGCGCGCGCGGCAGGGCTCTGGGAGCTGAGCGCCGCCCTCCTGCAGCTGGTGCGCAAGTACCGCGCCCTGCGGCTGGAGCGCGAGGAATACGTGCTGCTCAAGGCCCTGGCACTCGCCAACTCAGGTGGGTCCTGCCCTATGGGGGCTTGGGGTGGGGGCAGTCCTCTGCACCTGGCTTTCATCTCCCTGGGCTGGGCTCAGCCTCCCTCCCCCCAGGCTCTGCCTGCCACAGCTCCCTCCTTGACTCCCACCCCAGACTTCATTCAAGGACATGGTGGCCCCTCCGACGGTGCACAGCAGTGACATGGCAGCCCTCCCCCCCCGCCCCCTCTCTAACCCTGGATGATTCTCCCCCCACACCCACACCCAAGTGCACATCAGCAACGTTGGCCATGTCCCCGCCATGGGTCTCCCCAGACTTGGTGCATAGTGTTCCCCCCCAGATTGGGTGCACATCAGCAACACTGGCCACGCCCCCCACTCTAACCCCCATGGTCTCCCCCCAGACTCGGTGCACATTGAGGACATGGCAGCGGTGCAGCGGCTGCGGGACGTGCTGCATGAGGCCCTGCTGGAGTACGAGGGCAGCCGACGGCCGGAGGAGCCGCGCCGGGCGGGGAAGCTGCTGCTAACGCTGCCCCTGCTGCGCCAGACGGCTGCCCGCGCCCTGCACCACTTCTACGGCATCAAGCTGGGAGGGAAGGTGCCCATGCACAAGCTCTTTCTCGAGATGCTGGAAGCCATGATGGACTGAGACATGCCCCCGCCTCCCCCTCCCCGCCATGTGGGGGAGACAGAGGCATGGACCGGGGTGAGGGGCCTGGGGAAAGACACAGACCTGGGGCAGGGAGACAGACACATAGATGCGGGAGAAAGGCAGGGTGGAATGCAGACAGACACGCTGGAGAGACACAAACGGGAGGAGTAGGGGTGGGTGGGGGTGAGGACAGACACATGGACACTGGGGCAACAGGTGCTGGGAGGACAGACACAGACGCTCTGGCTGTGGGACGGGGGGGAATGCATGGGGACAGTAAGGCAGATAGTGGAAGATGTGGCTGGGGGGAACTGCAGCGTGGCCACAGGGCTGGGGGATGGGCATGCTGGAGACGGACCGGGGGACACTGGTGGGAGGGGACAGACTGACACGGGGACCCAGCCCCCCATATGCACTGGAAGCCATATTCTAACTTATTATCTGGGGGGAGGGATTTAGTGGCAGGGGGAGAAGCACCAGGGCCCCCTGTGGAAGCCATAATGGACCTGAACAGCACAAAGCTGGACTGCAGGGGGGAGCGTGTTAATCCCACATGCACAGACCTGGCCTGGGGGGATCCCTGCTTGTCCCTGGCTCAGAGCAGGGGAACCCCCCAGCTGAGGGGTGCTTGCCCAGCAGCCAATGTGTGCTGGGTCTGTAGGCAGCTTGGCACTGGAGGGGTCAGTTAGGTCGGGAGGGCAGTAACAGGGGCAGCTGATTCTCTCTGAAGCGGGGGCCTCCTAGGGACACCACCCCATGGCAGGTGTCCCCCTCCTCACTTGAGTCTCTGAACTCTCTGCTTAGGGGAGAAAGTGTGTGTGGGAGAGAATAATCCCCCATCCCAAAGTGGGGACCCCCTGAGGCTTCCCAGCCCCTGCCCCTGAGTGGGGGTGAGGGGTTTACAATATCCCTTCAAGCAATAAATGAACAAACTATGTATGCACTTGGCCAGGGGAGGGGAACCCCATGAGGGTCCCTTGGCTCAGGGCTGGGAGATCCCTGTAGTGGGGATACCTTAGATGAGGAGGATTGTGGGGGTCCCCTGTAATTCAGAGGAGGGGAGTGTGTGGGAGTCTCTTAGATTGGAGGGGGGTATATTCTTGTGTCCTGGGAAGGGAATTGAGATTTGGGGAGTGGTAAGCCCATACTTCCCTTGAAATATGGGGGAGGGTACTGGAGCCAAGGACTTCCAGTGGGGTTTTCCAGGGAAAATCCAGTGGGGTGACATAAGTGGGGTGAGGGGAACTTAGCAGCAGGGTCTGGGAACCTCCACTAAGCGCTGATCTCTCTTCTCCCCTCCCCCCCCCCCCGCCAAGCCCCAGGAGGGGGGAGAGTCTGGGGGGGGTGGGGGTCTGACGGGGGGGGCTCCTGCTGTAGTTAGGTCCTTGGGGGGGGGGGAGGGAGGGGCTGAAACAGAAGGCTGGAATTGTGGGAGCGGGAGCACAGCACTGTGATGGGGTAGCTGTACAGATAGGAAGAGGGGTTGCAATGGCTTGGGCATATTGGGGGGGTCCCTCAGGATGGGAACAGAGGCCAGTATCCCCTCCACCCCCCTCAAATTTCCCCTTGCCCTTCTGCCCCCCATAGCAATAAGCCCCCCCTCCCCTTGGGGTGGGGGTGAAGATGCTGAGAAACATGTACATAGCAATATATCAGACTGTATATTTGTTGCAGGATAATACGTGACCCCTTCATCTCTGCTCCCCTCAGAGGGGTGCACCCTCAGTCCTCCCATTTCTATAATGAGTGGGGTGACGTGGAGGGGGTTTGTATTAAATTATGTATGTGTATATATTATAAATACCTCTATTTTGTGTATAGGTGCTATACACACACATACATAGAGCTATATTCCAGAGCCAGAATAAACCATGGAGATCTCAGACTGTGTCCAGAGTCTTCCTTCCTAGCAATTAAGAAGGAACAAAAGCATTGTCTTGTTCTGTGTTTGTGCAGCACTGGGCCCAGTGGCAGCCTTGATCTTGCCTGGGGGTCTGAGCAGTGCCTGGCCCAATGGGGGACCTGCTTCAGGACTAGGTCTCCTAGGTACTACTGCAATCTAAATAACTGTACATGAGGAAAGTGAGTACGGTGCAAGGTGTGGCAGACCAATGTTCGGCTAGACCAAGGGCTAATGGGGGATGGGGACTGGACTAGAACAGAAGGGCACCAGCACAAGTGTGGTTGCGGGTAGCCCAGGGCTAGGATAGCAGAGTGCTGCAGGTTGTGATTGAGGGGCACGAGCAGGGGAGGGTGGACGGGTAATGGATGACATGCCCCATGCCAGGCTCCACCTCACAGTTTTATTTATACACAAACCAAATGAGCACAGAATGTTTTCTACTCCCTGTAGAACCCTCCCTCCCCCTGCCACACCCTCCCAGCCCAGGAACTCCCTCCCCCACCCCAATCTTCCCATCTTGGCCACCCTGGCCCTTCACGTCTCCTCCTCGCTCAGCAGCATGTTGGGGATGCCCTTGGTGATGGGGAACTCCCGGCCAGAATCAGGGCACTTCAGGATCCCCTCCATCACCTCCACCTATGGAGGGGAGAAGAAACACAGGTCAGCTGCAGCCTAAAGACAGAGGGATGAGCTGTGCCCCGGCCCTGCCCAGTAATGCTGTCAGGGAGGGGTGGAACGTCCCCAGACCACCAGCCCTCCCTTCTCGTTTTTTTTATTTTGCTGCAGTCACAACCCCCTATCATGATTCTTAGCAGCTGGGGAGGAGGCAGGATGAGCCACAGAAGCAAAAGGATGCTGGGAGCCCGGTGCCAGGGCATCTGCTGGACTCTCAGCCACCCAAGAGTGGATTCCAACAGGCAGCTAGAGCAGGGGGAGAATCCCCCACCATCAACATTCTCTCACTGCCTGAGGGGGCCCCCCCAATGTCGACATTTGGAACAGGGGCAGCAACAGCAAGAGGTACCCCCACCCTGGGGGATCCCCAGTGTCTCTGTGGGCTGATAAGTCCCCGGTGTCTCAGCCAGGCCAGGAAAGGACCTGTGTTTGTAACAGGCCCCGTCATACAACCTCAGCCACGGGTTTGTGGTGTCTGGGATATAGTGCCCAGCACCAGCCAGGGAGCCGGTGGGGGGTTGTGGGGGGGGGGGGCGTTTCTCACCTCCAGCAGCACGTGATGCACCTTCCTCAGGAAGTCCTCGTTGTTCTCGTACTCAGGGGGCAGCTCGTGGGGCAGGTCCGACAGATGGCCCAGCTGTAGGGAGAGGGAGATGAATGTCACAATGCTGACTCCAGAAGAGAAACTTTGCTCTGATTGACCCAAACGCTCCCCAAAGCCACTTCCCTCTCCAATCCCCGCCCCAAGGCTGCTGTGCCAATCCATGCTGCCCATCTCCTGCCATGACAGCCCTCTGGGCAGGAGGCTGGCCCCGTGTCTAGCGTCCCCAGCACCTAGGGTGAGCCCCTCCCCCTGCCAAACTCCACCCACCTATGCCCTGGACGGGGCCAGCCACTCCCCCCATACTCACGCTCTCCGCAGCCTCCACCAGGGCCCCCCACTCCACCTTGGGGATCATCCGCGCCACGAACTCCTGGTTGAAATCCACGTTATTCACTTTCACCTCGGTGGCCTGCGGGGAGGGGGAGGGTCAGTCCGGCTAGGCACGGCCGGGGCGGAACCCCCGAAGGGGCAGGTGGCATCACCCCCATGGGGGGAGAAATCAGCCCTGGGGCCCCCGACCCAGCGCTGGGGCAGCCCAGGGGGCAGGGATACGTGGCCCCTGTTACCTGGATACGGAGGGGGAAACCCCCCCCGGGCCGCACCCCCCGCACGTGCGAGGTCAGCATGTTGTGCGTCAGCAGCTTCATCCTCGCGCCGCTCCCGGTGTCACGGCACACGTGGGGAAGCGGTGAGACGCCAATACTCGGCTACTTCCGGTTCAATCGCACCCCTCCGAACACTACTTCCGGATGGAATGTGCCCTACTCAAAAGGGTCCGGCGGCTGAACGGGAAACACGGACCCGAACCTGAGGGTTCCGGGGAGATCTGGAGACAGTGTGCCGGTCCCCGATGGGGAGAAGAGAAGAATTAGACGCGAAACTAAGGGGTTAAAACATGCAAATAGTGTTCAAATCGCATGCAGATTATATTGAAATTAAGATGTGCAAAAAGCAGGAGAAAAACACTCAGATTAATCACAAATTATATATTAATTGTATGCAAATTCAGCGTGCAAACCACTTGTAATGTCGCCCTGCCAATCAAAAGCAATCTGTATGTAAACAATGTGCAAACCGGCCATGCAAATGAACCACACATGATATGCAAATGTGATGCAAACCGACCTGTGGGTTGCGGCGCATGGGCATTCCAGTCCACCCCAAGGTTGGTAGGTCCCCCAGGCCTTTTCCATGGCAACTGTCATTCAGGCGGTCTCCATGGTGACCGCGTGGCGGGGTGTGGCGGGGCTGGTGCTCCGGCGGGGGCGGGGGCTGTTGCGGGCGCCCCCCCTCCCCGGCTCCAAGCCCAGAGGAACCAGGAGCTTCGGTGTCCGAGCAGCTGCCATGGCGCCCGTCAAGGTGAGACCGGGCGGGGCGAAGAGCGGGACACCCCGGGGGCCTCAACCATCCAACCTGCCCCGCCCCTAGCTGGGGACCCCCCCCCAACTCAGCCCCAGCGAGACCCGGGGCAGAGAACGGTCCCCTGAATGGAGCCTCCTGGACAAGCCCCCCTCCAAAATCAGGGCCCCCAGCTAGGGTGACCAGACAGCAAGTGTGAAAAATCAGGACGGGGGTGGGGGGGTAATAGGAGCCTATATAAGAAAAAGACCCAAAAATCGGGACATTTGGTCACCCTACCCCCAGCAGGGCTCCCCCTGGCAGCTCCACTCGCCAGCTGGGACTTAGGGCTTGAGAAGAGCCCTCTCCCACCCTCCAGTTTAGCCGCCGATGCCTCCCCCCAACCGGGACCCTTGAAACCTGAGACCATGTCCCCAGTCCCTGAAGCTTGGAGGGTCACTACCCCCTTGCAGGACCCCCCCCCCCGAACTGTTGCCTCACAAGGAAGGGAGCAAACCCGGGGGGAGGGGGTTGGAACAAGGGGGTGACACTGAGCTCCCAACTCCTTTCACATCTAGGGGGGGCAGGGAGAGGTTGGGAGTAGAAAGGGCTGATTGGGGGGTGAGTGTAAGGCAGGCTGGGGAAGGGGACATTAGGGGAAGGGTGAGCAGGGCTGGGGTTGAGAGTTGGGGGAGGAGTTAGAGTTAGGCTGTAGGTTATGGGGTGAGATGGGAGGCAGGAGATGGGGGTTGGGGGGTAGGTGGGGACAGAGGGAGCTGGATTGTGGGGGAGGGGAAATGGGGTCAAGGCTGGGTGAAGGTGTGGGTGTGAGCTGGGGATGCTGGATTAGTGGTAAGGGGTTAGTGGGAGGCAGGGGTAGGATGGGGGAAAGATGGGGGTTGGTTGGGGTTCTGGGAGCTGGGCTGTGGGGGGGAGGAGCAGGCTGGGGAGGGAGGATGGTTGATTGGGAAGGGAGGTACATGGCAACCCAGAAGATTTGGGGCATGGGCAGGGAACTGGGGTTGGTGTCCAACTCATGAGATTGAGTAATCAGTTTGGAAACTCCCAAGGCAGGGGTGCTGAGTCACTGAGTGTCTGCCCTGTGGGCCTCCCCCCATGGGTTGTAGTGACAATACCCCCCCACAGACACAATTGAGGGATGCACACAGGGCTCTCTTGCTCCCCAGCCATGGAGAGGCTCACCTCAGGCTTTACGCATCATCTGGAGGCTTGTCTTTGCCCCCTCCCAGTGCTGGGGAGCGGGATTCCAAGACAGGAAGTGGCTGGGTGACTGGGAAGGGAGACACACACCCCCCCCCGTTAGTCAGCTACTTGAGGCCCCCCTGTTGGCGCTAGGGCAGGGGTGGGGGTTGTAGCTGGGGCACGAGGAACCGGCTCCCAGTTGGAATTCCAGAGTGGGGGTAGCTCCTCCCCCTGCACTGGGAGATGGGGCAGAGGCCCTGTGGGGGTCTGGCATAGGCTTGCCTTGGGCAAGGGGACTTGGCTAGGCCTCCCCCCAGCTCTCCCCCCCTGTGCCCCCAGGTTGGAGACAAGCTGCCCAGTGTGGAGGTGTACGAGGAGGACCCCGGCACCAAGGTGGATGTGGCTGCACTCTTCAAGGGCAAGAAGGGGATTCTCTTCGGGGTGCCTGGTGCCTTCACCCCTGGCTGCTCCAAGGTGAGGCATGGAGACTCCCCCCACAGTGCCCCCTTCCCCTCCCCCCACTACCCTACCCATTTTAGAACACACACACCAACTCCAGAGCATCCCCTCCCCCACCCTTTGCAACTCCCTACCTTAGAGCACCCCCTCATTCTAGACTGGCTCCTCACACACCCTGCTCCCTGGAACGCCCATCCCAGAGTTCCCTCACCCCCCTCCTCGGAGTATCCCCCACCCCACCCCACCCAGCTCCCCAGAACTCATCCACCAGAGCATCACTCCCGCCATCCCATCCCTGGGGCCAAGGGAGCCGCAGGGTGGACTAGAAAAGGACACATTTGTGAGCTCAGTGTGCCCTTGCAAGCCAGGGGCTGCCCAACTCCCTGCCTGGATCCCTGGGCTGGTGTCTGATGCTGCCACCCCACCCCGCATGCTGAGGAACTAATGCTCTTCCTGCCCCCCTCAGACCCACTTGCCGGGCTACGTGGAGCAGGCTGGGGCACTGAAGGCCAAGGGAGTGGAGCTGATTGCTTGCCTGGCCGTGAATGATGTCTTTGTCATGAGCGAGTGGGGCAAGGCCCAAGGGGCCCAAGGCAAGGTGAGCCGGGGGGGTGGGGTGGGGGGCAAGGCACAAGGAGCCTGGGGCAAGATGAGCTGGGGAGAGAAGGGAGCAAGGCCTACGGGGCCCAGGGCAAGGGGAGTGAAGGGAGGGCAAGGCAGGGGGAGTGTGTGTGGGGGGGTTGAGCTATAGCACCCAGGGTGAAGGAGCCACACAGCCCAGACCAGGAGGAGCACAGAGGGCAGGAAGGGGCACCAGCCAAGGGGAATGTGGAGAGTCCCAGGGACCATAGCAAGGGGAATACAGAGGGTGGGACTAGGGGACCCAGGGCAGGGGGAGTGAGCAGGGATCAAGGCCCAGGGCAGTCTCCTTATAGGGGGGTGTATGGTGCTGAGTCTCAGGGAAAGGGGAGGAGTCTTTTCTCTCCCACACTCACCAGCATCCTAACCCCAATGCTGCAGGAGCCCTGCCCCCACCCCTGCAGGCAGTGTGTGACTTCCAGGCAGCAGTGAACACTTCCCTTCTCAGTAGGAGCTGTTGATTACGCAAGGGGGCATCTATAGGTTGTGTAACCTCAGGAGTGGGTGTGGCTCTTGCCACTCCTACCCTCCCGCCCATCTCACAGGCGCCTCTTCACTGGCTCCCTAACCCTTTCCCCCTCCCTGCCCCCAGGTGCGGATGCTGGCTGACCCCACCGGAGCTTTCGGAAAGGTAATGCCCCACCCACCCAACCCGTGCCCTCAGGCGCCAGCTGGGGGTATCCTCCTCCTGGAGCAGGATCAGTCCCAGTCTCCCTACCCACCTGTCTGTGTACCAGTCCCTGGCCCTTCCCCTCCTAACCAGCTCGACAGCCAAGATTCAGGGCCCCCACTCCCTGGCCAGTCCTCTTTCCCACCCCACTGTGTGCCTGTCCTCTGCTCCTCCCCTACCTGCTGTGTCAGATCCACCCCCCCGGGGGTGTTCCTGCTCTGGGACTGTGGGGGAAGGGGCAGTGGAACCCCCATCCCCTATTAGAGGCATCCAGGATTCTGTCCCTCCAGTGCCACCTCCCTGACACCAACAACGGGGGCTGGGTTGAGGTCAAAGGGCATTTGAGGACCAAGCAGCTCCAGAAGTGAAGGCCTGTTTGCAGGGGGAAGTTCCTGGGCTGTGTCCTCTGCCTGGAGGGGACTGGGGGGGCTGTCTGACCCCCCCTCCTTGCTTTCCCTTTCTCCCCTAGGCTACGGAACTGCTGCTGGACAAGGAGACCCTGCGTGACCTCTTTGGGACTAACCGCTGCAAAAGGTAAAGCAGTGGGCTCCTTACCCCCCAGCAGCCTCTGAGGATACCCCCCTTGGGAGAGCTGGGGTTCTCTGTACAGGCGAGGGATGGGCATGGGGATGAGTGTTAGGAGCTCAGAGTGGAGAGGATGCACCCCTGCAGTTGCAACTATGGGCCTCTGGGGTGTCCCCTTTGCCTGGGGGTGGGGGGCTGGATGTGGAGAGGAGGGGAAGTCCTCTTCTCCATCTCCATGGGAAAACCTGGGAGAGGCAAAGCCCCCCTGGCTATATCCCCACATTGATACCCCCAACCCTCCCTTCTCCATGATGGGGGTAGAGGGTGCTAGGAGATGTGGGAGGGAGCCCTGGCTGTGTCCCCACACTGAACCCCCAATCTCCCCCCTGGGTTCTCCATGGTGGTGGACGATAGGGTGGGAGGTGGGGAGAGGGGAATCACTGGAGGGCAGGGGAGGAGAGGGGGAGCCCCCATTGTGTTCTCACCCTGACCCCTCCCAGGTTTTCTGTGGTGGAGGATGGCACGGTGGGGAGGGGGCCCTGGCACTGACACCCTCCCATCTCTCTTAGGTTCTCCATGGTGCTGGAGGATGGTGTGGTGAAGGCTCTCAACGTGGAGGAGGATGGAACAGGGCTGACCTGCAGCCTGGCCAACAACATCCTCTCTCAACTCTGAGCACCAGGACACCAGGGTCCCTCCTGCTGCTGCTGCTGCTGCTGCTCCCTCCTCTTCCCCCCCCCCGCCCTAGCACCAGAAGCGGGGCAGCGCACCATCCTTTCCCTGCATGATATGATGGCCTCCCCCTGGGGGAGGGCAGGGGGGAGGGGTGCAGTGCTGCTGCTGCTGCTCCTGCTGTCATGGGATTGGCCTCTAGAGGGCACTCATGCCCTGATGGTGGTGTACTGCCCCACCATGCTGTGTATCAAGTGGAATAAACGGCTCTCGCCAGCCCTGCCTCTGTCTCTCTGCTGGGGGGAGGGGGGACAGGCATAGACAAGGCATGGTAGGGGTGGAAGCAAGGGAGTGACCCAGACCTCAGTTCTATCCTGCTCAGCCCTCCTCGCACCGAGTGCTGACCTGCCCATGCCTCCTGCATCCCCTCCCCCCCCAATCTCATAATCTCTTTTGAGGCCTTGGGGGCAGAATAAACA